GGTTTGTCATGTATATTGAGGACCTGTACAGAAGTCTTACATAGCCTTAGGCTTGTTAGTGAGTTACAAAGGATGTCTCTAAGAAAGGAAGGGGATGTGATAAGTCATGTCTAATCTCCTTTCTCATGGGTAGCAACTCAGTTTAGGGATCCCCTTGGCCAAGAGGGGGTCCAGTCAATCAGCAGCTATAGGAGACCCGTAAGATTTTATTTTTGTGAGACAGAGTCTCACTCTGTTGCCCCAAGCAAGAGTGCCCTGGTGTCAGAGCTCACAGCAACCTCAAGCTCTTGGGCTTAAGCAATTCTCTTGCCTCAGCCTCCCAAGTAGCTGGGACTATAGGCACCCATCACAATGGCCAGCTATTGGCTCGGCGCCTGTGGTTCAAGTGGCTAAGGCGCCAGCCACATACACCTAAGGTGGCAGGTTCGAATCCAGCCCGGGCCCGCCAAACAACAATGATGGCTACAACCAAAAAATAGCCGGACATTGTGGTGGGCGCCTATGGTCCCAGCTACTTGGAAGACTGAGGCAGGAGACTCGCTTGAGCCCAGGAATTGGAGGTTGCTGTGAGCTGTGATGCCACAGTACTCTACCTAGGGGAACAGCTTGAGTCTCTGTCTCAAAAAAAAAAACAAAACATTGCCCAGCTATTTTCTTGTTGTAGTTGTCATTGTTGTTTAGCTGGCCTGGGCTGGGCTCAAACCCGCCAGCCTTGGTGCATGTGGCTGGCACTATAGCCACTGTGCTATGGGCGCCAAGCCCCCCCCCCTTTTTTTTGAGACAGAGTCTAACTATGTCACCCTTGGTAAATTGCCATGGTGTCACAGCTCACAGCAACCTCCAACTCTTGGGCTTAAGCAATTTTTTTGCCTCAACCTCCCAGTAGCTGGGACTACAGGCGCCCGCCACAAATTGTGTTTTTCTTTCAAGTGGGCATGTAGTTGTTTTTCTATTGGTTTCATATAGTATTTAGAACATTGGATACTTGTTTTTGCATTCTTACTTCAACTCTATCCAGGTTAATGTAAAAGATATAAAGTCACCATCTTTTTTCTTTTTTTTTTTTGAGACAGAGCCTCAAGCTATCCCCCTGGGTAGAGTGCCATGGCATCACAGCTCACAGCAACCTCCAACTCCTGGGCTCAAGCAAGTCTTCTGCCTCAGCCTCCCAAGTAGCTGGGACTACAGGCACCTGCCACAACGCCTGGCCATTTTTTTGGTTGCAGCCATCATTGTTGTTTGGCGGCCCCGGGCTGGGGATTCGAACCCGCCACCTTAGGTGTATGTGGCTGGTGCCTTAGCCGCTTGAGCCACAGGCGCCGAGCCGTCACCATCTTTTTTTAATGGCTGAATGGTATTCCATGGTATACGTATACCACACTTTATTAATCCATTCATGTGTTGATGGGCACTTGGGTGAATTCCACATCTTAGCAATTGTGAATTGAGCTGCCATAAGCATTCTAGTGCAGATGTCCTCACTGTAAAATGATTTTTTTCTTCTGGATAGATACCTACTAATGGGATTACAGGATCAAATGGAAGGTCTACTTTTAGCTCTTTGAGGGTTCTCCATACTTCTTTCCAAAGAAGCTTTATTAGTTTGCAATCCAACTATTTTACCACAGTTTAAATAAGGTACATTACATTGTGATCTATGCAATGATAGAAAAATACTCAAAAGAAAACTAAAAACTAGGCTCAGTGCCCGTAGCTCAGTGAGTAGGGCGTTGGCCATATACGCCCAGGATGGTGGGTGCAAGCCCTGTTAAACAACGACAACTGCAACCAAAAAATAGCCGGGCATTGTGGTGGGTGCCTGTAATCCCAGCTACTCAAAAGAATCACTTATGCCCAAGAGTTTGAGGTTGCTATGAGCTGTGATGCCATGGCACTCTACCGAAGGCAACATAGTGAGTGAGATGTCTCAAAAAAAGAAGAAAACTAAAAACTAAAAAATCCATCCATTTTAGTTGTATAATTAAATGATGTTTAGTATGTTCATAGAAGAAATTTCTCTTTTCAGATGCTTCCAGATCCTGCTGTACTCCTCAGGGCTGCCCCTGAGCTACCAGGTGACGTTCCTTTGGCCTTGTACTCTTTCTGGGAACTCCTCCCTCCAGCTCCACCTAGCTTTGAAGAATAGACCTCCCTTTCTTCTGGAAAGCACTTCCCTCAGGTCAAATCTAAATCTTCCACCAAGAACCAAGTCTAAAGTCACAGCCCCCAGGCTACCTTCTGTGATTCCCTTTCACACCTATTGAGATTGACAGAGGGAAATTCCCAGAGGGTGGGTAGTCCCCTGGGAAAGGGCGAGACAGCTTCCTTCAGATTAGAGGCCTAACACAGACTGTTTGCCTGGACTTCCCACCTAATCTAAGGTGTGGAGGCTCCCCTGGAGCCTTCCCTCCCTTATAGAGCTTGGCCCTCCCTTTTTGGTCTCTATGAGGAGGAATCTTTCCCCAGACCTCTTGGCTTGACCAGGATGCATTTGCCTAGTAGAAGTGCCCTAATGCAGTGTCCAGGGCCAGTGTATTTTTTAGGACTGCTGGGCCTAAAGTGCATATTGGAACTTTATCCCTGCTATATCTTATAGGGTCCACATCACCACCTTTGTCTAAAAAGAATACTGTCCTAGGGCAGTGCCTGTGGCTCAAAACCCCATATGCCGGAGGTGGCAGGTTCAAACCTATCCGCCTCCTGCCAAAAACTGCAAAAAAAGAATAGTGTCCCTTTGGGCAGCGCCTTTGGCTCAATGGGTAGGGTACCAGCGCCATATATCTAGGGTGGTAGGTTCGAACCCAGCCCCAGCCAGCTAAAACAGCAGTGGCAACTACAACAAAAAATTGCCAAGCGTTGTGGTGGACGCCTATAATCCTACCTACTCAGGAGCCTGAGGCAAAAAGAATTGCTTAAGCCCAAGAGTTGAAGGTTGCTGTGAGCTGTGACCTTACAGCACTCTACAGAGGGCGACAAAATGAGACTCTGTCTCAAAAAAAAAAAAAAAAAAAAAAGAATATTGTTCCCTCTACCTTGTCATATTTCTTTATTTACTCCTTCAACTCTTACTTGGAGGCTTAAGCTAAGTTGCAGAATGACCATTTTTGAAGTTGGTTTTCTACAGTGCTTGTGGTGAATTCTTTGGGGAAAATGGTAGTGCCTCCATCCCCAGTGCTATCGATTTTCTGCTGTGGCTCAGGCATAAACACCAACTCCTAAGAGACAGATGTGCCTGCCAGCCATGAAAGTTATGAGAAACAGATGTGCTTACAATCTGTTCCTGGAGTCCACCTCAGTGGAGAAACGTAGACTCAGGAAGCAGCCCTCTTGGAGGGGCACTGAGGGCTTAGATATAGGGAATGACCCGGTCAGTGTCTCCAGCCTTTGCACTTGCACTTGGTACATCCCATTCTCACAGCAGTGAAGGGGTCACCCCTTTCTCGATTGGACACAAGGACAACATTCCTGGATTCCAGGAGAATGCATCCTTTTATTCCCACTGCCTTTGGAAGGAAAAGTCATGCTTTTTCTTTTCTTTTTTTTCTGAGACAGAGTCTCACTATGTCACTCTGGGTAGAGTGCTGTAGTGTCACAGCTCACAGCAACCTCCAACTCTTGGGCTTAAGTGATTCTCTTGCCTCAGCCTCCCAAGTAGCTGGGACTACAGGCGCCCACCACAATGCCTGGTTATTTTTTGGTTGTAGTTGTCATTGTTGTTTGGCAGATCCAGGCTGGATAAGAACCCTGCAGCTCCAGTGTATGTGGCTGGCCCCCTAGCCACTGAGCCACAGGTGCCGAGCAGAAGTGTTGCTTTTTCATTCACTTGCTCCACAGTATGTCCATTGCCTCAGTTTCATCTCCCATAAAAATGGAGGCATTATAGTGCTTCCCTCATGAGCCTATGGTGAAGAGCAGAGCAGATGAGATAATGCATGTGGAGTAATAAGCCCAGGGTCTAGGACATCACACAGGCTTAATTTGTGGTATCTATTATTTTTATTATTATTAATTTAATCAAAACTGATGAGCACAGCACTATCCTTGGCCTATCTTGAAGGACAGACAGATCTCTTGGTTCATTCCACAAGCAATTTCTGAATGGCCATCTCATGAGCCTGCCTCAGTGAATGGGGCCTTCCCAGTGATTCCTGAATTCTCTTGGAGGTTGTTGCTCAGTGTCTTCCAGGTAATGAGCTGTCCCTGCCTACTACCCTGACTCCAGGTAACTGGGAACAAAACTGAGTCTTGGGAGAGGATCAGTGACTTCCCTGAGGCAGGGACTAGAATCCAGGTCCCTGTTCCCTAGGCTAGGGTGGTTGTTCTTGCTATGGGCTTACTTTTGGCATTAGATTAGCAAGAGTCCAACTCCATAGTGAGGCTGACACAGAACCATAATTACCAATGGAAATCCGTGAACTCACACATTATGTAAGAGGTTTTGTATGGCCAATCCTGTAAAGCAGGCCTCAGGAAACGTTGGGTTTTTTTGTTTTTTGCAGTTTTTTTTTTGGCCGGGGCTAGGTTTGAACCTGCCACCTCCGGCATATGGGGCCGGCGCCCCACTCCTTTGAGCCACAGGCACCACTCAGGGAAACGTTTTTTTAAACAGTCCAGAAAATAAATATTTTAGGCTTCAGGCCTCTGTCTCAAGTACTCCACTTGGCCATTGTAGGAAGAAAACAGCCCTAGATGGTACTTAAGCCAATAAGCATGGTTGTGATCTACTAAAACTTTTATTTCTAAACACTGAAATGTGAACTTCATACAACTTTCACAGGTTTGATATTTTTTATCAACCATTAAAAAATGTAAAAGCCGGCAGCGCCCGTTGCTCAGGGCACCGGCCACATACACCCAGGCTGGCAGGTTCAAACCCGGCCCGGGGCCAGCTAAAACAACCATGACGACTGCAACTAAAAAATAGCCAGTGTTGTGGTGGGCACCTGTTGTACTCCCAGCTACTCGAGAGGCCAAGGCAAGAGAATACCTTGAGCCCAGGAGTTGGAGGTTGCTGTGAGCTATGATGCCACAGCACTCTAGCCAGGGTGACAGTTTGAGGCTCTGTTTCAAAAAAAAAAAAGTAAAAACCTATTTTTAGTTCACAAGCTGTACAAAAACAATGGACCTCTGCTCAGCTCAGCTCAGCTTAAGGGAGTAGAATCCATTCTTTGATTTTAGGATTAGAGACTGGAAAAAGATAGGAAAAACTATTATTACTCCAAAGGGAGCCTGAGGCCTTACCAACAGCAGAGAGAAGGAAGGGTCAATTAATCTAGGCTGGGCACTTCTAGGTGAGGCGTGGAAAAAAACCCTTCCTGGTGAGGGACTTAGAAATTTTTTTTTTTTTTTGCGACAGAGCCTCAAGCTGTCCCCCTGGGTAGAGTGCCGTGGCATCACAGCTCACAGCAACCTCCAACTCCTGGGCTCAAGCGAGTCTCCTGCCTCTGCCTCCCAAGTAGCTGGGACCACAGGCGCCCGCCACAACGCCCGGCTATTTTTTGGTTGCAGCCATCATTGTTGTTTTTGGCGGGTCCGGGCTGGGGATTCGAACCCGCCACCTTAGGTGTACGTGGCTGGCGCCCTAGCCGGTTGAGCCACAGGCGCCGAGCCAGACTTAGAAAATTTTATAAACCAGTTTTCTTTCTTTCTTTCTTTCTTTTTTGAGACAGAGTCTCTCTATGTTGCCTCAAGTAGAGTGCTGTTGCGTCACAGCTCACAGCAACCTCAGACTCTTGGGCTTTAGCGATTCTCTTGCCTCAGCCTGCCGAATAGCTGGGACTACAGGCGCCCGCCACAATGCCCGGCTATTTTTTGGTTGTAGTTGTCATTGTTGTTTGGCGGCCCGGGCTAGATTCGAACTCGCTAGCTCTAGGTGTACGTGGTTAGTGCCCTACCCGCTTGAGCTACAGGCGCCAAGCCTATAAACCAGTTTTCTTACCTGTAAGGGACAATGATCCCTACCTCCAAGAATTGTTAAAAGGGTCGAGGGAGACAAAGGATGGTAAACTGTTTTGTAAAATGCAAAAATTTATTCCCCGAAATGTTCCACAGATGCTTACACTGACTTTATTACTGAGAAGCCTACGTACAAAGTTTGACCGGACACTACCCCTTTAAATCCTCCCCAAGCTCTTAAAGTAGAAGGACGAGTCGGCGCATGCGCATTCCTTCCTGGGACTGGCTCTCCAGCAACAGCCTTCCCAGAACCTGTAGAAGGGAGGTTGACGGTCCTCCCACACGGAAGTTGTACGCAAGCGTAAATCATGATTGAGAGCATTATATCGTGCGGAGAGTACAGTCCCTTTTTCACGCCCAAAGGCTCCGCCCCCTACAGCCAATCAGTAGGTCTCGCCCTTTGCAATGACCAATAGTAATGAGCGTGGGGGGCGTGGCTGGGTGCCCAGGGGCGCGGCCTGGAGCTGAGAGAAGCGGCGGGGCAAGCCCGGGGCTCTAGTGAACAGCGCAGCCGGAGGGGATCGCCGGCTGGCGGCGAGCGGAGACAGCCCAGGCCCGGAGGTCTCCGAAATGTCACGATGGCTGTGGCCATGGTCAAACTGTGTGAAAGAGCGGGTTTGCCGCTACTTGCTACACCATTATTTGGGCCACTTTTTCCAAGAGCACCTCAGCCTGGACCAGCTCAGTCTGGATCTGTACAAGGGCAGTGTTGCCCTGCGGGATATCCACCTGGAGATCTGGGTAAGGAGTCAAGCCCAAGCCCAGGAAAGTGCAGAGGGTGGGAGCGCAGCGACCTAAGGCACATGGCGAAAGGGTCAGGTTGGCAGACCTGCCACCAGGTGTAGCGAGGCCGGGGAGTCCAGCCCTCTCCAAGTGTCCGACGCATCCCAGCGGGTCGCTTCAGTGCCTTGCCAGAGCCAAAGCAGGGCGGGAAAGGGTACCTGTCTCCACTTTACTGGGGAACTGAGGTTGGGGAGGAGGGTGTCACTTGTCTGGAGAATAATATCAGCATATGCACTTAAGTTTGGGGGCTGAGTTTAAGGAGGGTGGTACTGAGGAGCCAAGGAGTGAGTGGAGAGGAACATAGGAACTGCGGGCCCAGTGGAACCCGGCCAGGGCAGTGACAAGAGTTGGGGCTGAGGCCGCTGGTTAGGGAAGACTGGTAGGGGTCCAGAGCCCTGGAGAGGACACCTGTGGAAAATGTGCTCTAACCTCTTGACCCAGGGAGTGGGCAGGGTGGTGGGTGGGGTTGTCTCCGGATGTGGATGTCAACAACAGCGTCAGCACCAGTGTTGATCAACACCTCGTGTGACCGCTTCTGCTGTGTACTTCCTGCTTTGGGGAGAGTGGGACAGGCAAAGCCAGTGGCTAGGATAGGATTTGGGGGTCAGCATCCCTACCTGAAGAGGAGCTTGGCCTCAGACAGGGAGAAGGCCAAGGGAGATGCTGAGGAAGCCAAGAGTAGTAAGTTCTGGGCCAGGCTTGAGGCTGGGGATGGTAAGGGGCCCTGACTCACAGCTCAGCTGACCTGAGGAGTTTCAAGGAAGCCACCAATTAAAGGGATGAGCCCAGGGCTTGTACTAGGTCAACCCTCTAAATCCAGAATAGCAGGGGTGGGCATAGGGCTTCTCAGTTTTCTGGCAGGGCTCAGGGCTCTGCAGGCTTAAGGGCAGGCCAGGCCCTGATGAGCACATGTGGCATAGGGGAATATAACCTTGAGCTCTAAATTGGGGTACCTCCCCATAGCCTGTTATCTGAATTCTAGTTTAAGAAGCTCTCTCTAACCTCTGACCTCAACCTCCTGATAGGTAGCCTAGACCTCTAGGCTGCCCCTATTTTCAGCTCCAGAAAACACTCTTAACTCTTCTGCCCTGTTCTCCTGTGTATTTGGTCTTGAGTTGGCTTCTAGCTAGGGTGCTTTCTGCCTCCAGGGGAGAATTGGGCCCAGGTGGAATAAAGGTGCTTTCTTGATAATCATCCCTCTTCCCAGCTGCTTGGTCTGCAGCCCCCACATCAAAGATCCCAAAAGAAGCTGAGTGTGCTTGGGGACTCTGAAGAGAAAGGCCTGGGTCCCAGGCCCTATGGTATACTGGGTGACTAGAATAGTCCTCTCTCTCTAGGCCTCAGTTTCCCTGTCTGTTTCTAGGTGAGGAATTTGGCCTGGATCCCTATGACCCCTCCAGCTCTGCCATGTGCTTGTTTATTCCTGGAGCCAACAAGTATTCACTGATGGCTTCTCCAGGAGGCACCACACAGAGTGTATGGGGTCACAGGGAGGCGGCAGATGGATTACTGCCTTAAAGGAGATCCTAGGCTTTCAGAGATGTGACTGTAGTATAGACTTTTTAGCCAGGGCCTTGGAGAGGGTACAGCTTCACCATGTGTTTGGAGTTTGGGGATCCCATCTGGCCTCTGGTTAGACTCTGTGAACACTTTCTCCTTGAACTCTGGGTTCAGCTATGGTGAACATGGGTGCTGCTGTGCACCACACACCTACCGTCCTTCCTCCTCTTCAAACCTTCAGCTCTCTCTTCTGATGGCCCAGGCTGGATTAGGCATCTCCCCCTATCCACGCTTGTTCATCTGGTGGGCACTGAGCCCATGGCTGGAGCCTAACTAGACTAGAAAATAATATTTGCTTAGCCATATAGCCTTGGTGTCAGAATGTAGAAGGTGCTCAGTAAATATTGTTTGAATTGAATGGAGAGGGAGGGCAACATTTGAAAGAATGGGTGCCTTTGGGTGATGAGGTGATGGAGTAGACAAGGAGTAGGGAGCAAAATGAGCAAAAGAGGGATGAGATGAGGCACACTCCTTCTTACCCTGGGGCCTGGGACCTACCTTGGGGCGTCATTCTGTTTCAACTTCACCATCAGCTCCATGTACCCTGAGGAGCTGCCAGTCTGCAAGCGTGGCTCTGAAGGTTTTTCTTGGAGGTGAGAGGATGAAGAAGGGGGGAGTTGAGAAGATGGAGTCAGGAATAGTCAGAAGGGGTGGCTCATGCCTGTAAGCCTAGTACTGTGGGAGGCTGAGGTGGGTGAATCACTTCACTTGAGCTCAGGAGTTCTAGACCAGCCCCAGCAAGAATGAGACCCCATCTCTTTTTTGTTGTTGTTGCAATTTGGCTGGGGCCAGGTTTGAACCAGCCACCCTTGGTATATGGGGCCAGCACCCTACCCATAGACGTGAGCGAGATCCCATCACCCTACCCATGAGCCATAGGCGCTGCCTGAGACCACATCTCTTAAAAAAAGTAAAAAAATTGGGTGGTGCCTGTGGCCCAGAGAGTAGGGCTCAGGCCCCATATAC